AGTGGTACCTCAATGCAGGGTGCCATGTTCTCAGGCACAGTAAATATGGCTGGGTCTGTGTGGTCTCAGGAAGGATGGATGGACTGGTCTGCCACAGGCTAACAGTACAAGTCTACCAGTTTCACAAACCTTCCAGAAAGCAACGCTGACACCAGGTGTAGATAGAGGCAGTAAAGCTTGTTCCTTTTTTTTCTTTTTAATTGCTTGAATCAATCATTACTTTGGCCAGAGTAAAATTTTTTAAAAGAATTATTATTTATTTAATTGTATTTATTTATTTGCATATTTTAATTTGACCAGAGAGAGAGAAAGAGAGAGGGGAAAACAAGCCACCAGGTCCAGGACTCAAACTGTGGTTGGCCATGTGGGAGTCCAACGCTTTAACCACCACACCACCTGCTGGTCCCGACCAGAGTAAATTTTAAGCAACACAATTAACAAACTTTAAGTAAGAGTTGTCAGCAACACAGAAACTGCTGTACAAATAGAAATACACAGATTGAGTATGTGTTATGTTCAAGGCACCATGGTGAAAATGGCTCAATTAAATCAATATAATTGGGTAGAATTTTATGGCCTGCATCAAAGAGAAGCTGATATTCCATAAAATTTTGTCCAAGAGAAACTGGAAATGAGTATAATGTGCACCGATGCAGGAAATTGCCCAGTAGATTGTAGGAAGTCACACAGTGAAATGCCATACGTAGTACCTATAAGTAGTCAGGGGAACGGTCTCCAAAATACACTGGTAAGTGAAACATGAACTACAGGATGTATTGCACAGCATGAAGGTATTCATCCAAAAACACCAATTTGTTTGTATACATAAATATCAAGTACAGAGAAAAAGCTCATGACAGAAAATATGCTAGGGAGGGTAGGGATGGGAGTAAAGGAACTTTGCATTCCATATAGCAATGAGAATACATCCATTGTATCTTCTGTAAAAAAAAAAAAAAAAAATCCACTTTTATAGGTCAGCATGCCAAGTAAGTAGATTACATTACACATTCCCTACCATTTTTATTGGGAATTCAAATCATATAATGATCCTCATAGTGATGGCTAAGGCCATGAAGTGTGTGTGTGTGTGTGTGTGTGTGTACACACATGTATACATTTTCTTAAAACTTGCCAAGTTGCTTTTCGACTATATTTTTAAAAGACTGGTAATTACCTATATCAGAGGACATTTGAGACGAGAACATATTGGCTATTACCAAGGATCTCTCCTTGAGTTACAAGAAGATCATTTAAGAGAAATAAGCAACGTATTTCATTTATTCTCATGTAAGTAATTAATTAAAAGGTTACCTTTAGAACAAAAAAGTCTTCCTTGCAAATGAGGAAACAGACGTAAGGCAATCTTTGATCTTGCCGTTCAAAACACACTAAAATAGCATGCAAGCAGTACTTTCCTATTTTTAAAATTATATTTGAAAGGCACACCAATGCCAAGGAGTAATTTGGCAAGAGCAGACCCAGTCTGAGTCAATGTTCTCACCATCTGGGCTCCGTCAAGGATTTTGTTTTCTTGGTCTTCAAATTAATATCTCCTAGAAATATGCAATAGAAAATTGGGCACAGAGTAGTGGAGACCTCTTACTTTTTTATTTTTAACTTTATGAAGGATGTTGGAGAAGGCAATATAACAACTGTTGCTCGGTTACAATTGAAAAATTAATTGGAGGCACTGCCATGGCACATTCAGGGCCTTGTTCCAAATAGAATTTTTCAGGCAGATGAAAACTGTACCCTTCTCAGCCTCAGCCCACTTGAAGTTGAAAAACAATACAATGGCGAGATAGTAGGTGTCAATGACTAAAGAAGGCCCCTGAGGGATGCTCTGGAAAGCAAAAGAGAGTTCCACGCAAAATGTCTCGACAAGACGTCTAGACTATCTGTAATTTGCTGATGGTGAGGAAAACCAGATTATTAAGAAACCTTGTGAAGCTAACAGCTAAAAGCAAAAAATGCTGGGAGACTTGGGATGGCATGTAAGAAGGGAGATTCTGATAGGCTTTTACAGTATTATCTATGACCCCGGGTGACATTGAGGAGTGACTCCTATCGTAGATGCAAAAGAAATGTGGCAGGAGGAGGGAACAAATATCTTTAAGTGCCAGAGAGGCACTGCCAAAAATGAGAGCAGGAAGAAACTACAACATCTATCACGGTGACATCTACAAATTCTTACCCAGAGTGGAACTGAGTCAGATAGCATAGAGGAAGATGAGCAGGCGAATCAGGGACGCCTTTTTAAATGACTGATTTCTAACCTCACTCTGCTGAATAAGTCAGCACTTGCATCTCTAAATCTCTCAAGACCCTGCTGCTTATTTTCTTCCTAGGAAACAAATACTTACTTGTTCAATACAAGCAAATAGAACTTTTCAGATGGAGGACTTAAATTAGGAGAACAGGTCAGCTTTCAGGACTTTAAGCAGATCTTTGATGGTCTGTAACATTTTTGAAGAATCAGGGCTGCTCTCAGCCCACATGAAGCCTTTGTCTGAACTAGAAGCAGCATCCTCTCTGCAGACGCAGCCATGCCCTAGGTATATACCCTGGCTGCAAAAAAACATACTGCTTTTCCGAGGTAGCCCGAGAAAAGGAGAAGCACAGGGTCTGTTTCTACCACCTTTATTCCTTTGGTTGTTTAAGTCTGTGCAATGAACAATTTTTCTTTTCTTTTTTTTTTTTCTTTTTTTTAAGAGAGATTTTTGCTATAGAGTATGTGCATTCACCAGAGGGACAGAGAGACAGAAAGTGAGAAATCATTCCCTCGGAGGGATAGTCATGCCGCAGTCCCTTCTCCTCCATTCTTCTCTCAGGATTTTGAACACATGCATACACACACCTAGCGTGAGTTTTAAGCCATGGGTCTGGGACTTGAACCATGGTTGACTATGTGGTTGTCCACCAACATAACCATTACACCCTCTGCTGGTCCCACGGTGAACAATTTTTACAACTTGGGAAAATCACTCTAGTATCGTAGTTACCAGATGAGTGATATGAACCTATATGTTTGACCTAAATGATTCAATAGGGAACATCAGACACCCTGGGAAAAAAAGTGGTTAGTCCCAGTTACATTAGCACTTGTTATATTATTGGAACAGAATATTTTAAGAGACTACATCAGAAAAAAACTGATCTCTGCCTTGGTTATTATCTTTTTCTAAGAGTTGAGAAATCACACATAAAATTACCCACAATAGAAAGAGATTGTAAAACACCACAAACAAGTGCCATGGCTTCTCCGTTTCTCCACGGAGGGATTGCCCGCTTCTTTTCTAGGCACATTTAGAAATCCGTCAGTCATGATGTCATACAAAGCCACACCTTTCTAGCAGAGCTGTCCTTGAAAAGGAAACATGAGGTGGTAGTATTCCCACAGTTGCAAATATCAAGGGCCTTTTCCCCTTGTCCTGGGTCCAATCCTGGAACTAGCACTTTTGTATTGCCTGTAACTGAACCAACATCTTGGAAAATTCTTCGACAACAGAATATGAGTTCACTGTGTGTGTGTGTGTGTGTGTGTGTGTGTGTGTTTTCTAGAGTTTTGCCATAGGGCACATGCTCTCTCACTGGAGAGACAGACAGAGACAGTGAGAGGCAAAGCAAGAAACCACCCCCCCAGTGGGGACAGCCATGCTGCAATCCCTTTTCCTCCTGGGATTTTGGGCATGTATGCACACATACCCAGCATGAGTTTTAAGCCACTGGATCCAGGACTTGAAGAGCAGTCAGTCATATGGAAGTCCAGCCTCTTACCCACTATATCACCTGCTGGCCCCCTCACTGTGATATTTTAAATTACCTTGTTGGTTTACTCTCCACTGCCTCTCTCTCATTCCTACACTCTCCCAGCTGAGTACTAGTGTCCAAGTATCCCAGAAGCAATGAATGAATGGTTGGGAAACTTGGAGACTATATGAGAAATGGGCATGAAAATCAGGCCCTATTCATTCTAGGAAAGAGAAAACAGACTGGGTTACCTAGAAATGTGTCAATGCTCACCAAGAAAGGTGTGAACATCTGCGGCTCAGAACACCCCTGGAAGAGGAGGCTGTGAGTGATGCTGACACTCTACTTTGGCCAAGGAGACACAAGGAAGAGTCAGAGCAAAGAGGCCCACGGGAACGGCGAGGAGAGTGAGAGGGGGAGAAAAGGCCAAGTGGGAAGACAGGCCCAGGCGACTGGCAGAGCTTCCTCAG